GAGTGTGTGGGAGGGGGGGAGGGAGCCTGCGTCCTCAGACGTCCCCCCCCCCCCCCCCCCCGCCGCGCTCCCTTCTCTCCCTTTCTGTCTGTCTCACACACATGTGTATGTGTATGTGTCTCTGTGCTTTTTTTTGGCTGCCCTAACATGCGCTCTGGCCCCCGCGCCTTTGGATAGCCGGCTGCATGTACCTCCTTCTGCCATCACGCCTTTACGCGCATAAGGCCCTGTCGTACAATGGCCGTGCCCTTCCCCAGTATGGCAGCCGGCAGAAGCGCGCCCCCGGCGTCCCCCTCAGCGTGCGGGTCATCCCGGTGGAGTCGCTCCTGAGCAAGGACCTTGTAGCGTCGATGGCTGCCGACCTGACCCCGGTGCGTATGCATCTCCTCGTGGTCTTCTGGCCGGCCGTGTCTCTCTCTCTCTCTCTCTCTCTCCCTCTCTCTCTCTCTCTCCCTCTCTCTCTCTCTCTCTCTCTCTCTCTCTGCTAACCTCTCTTGTCTTGGCCCCTGCCCCTTCCCCCGGGTGCGTGCGTGGGTGTGGCTGTGCGCCCGACATAGGCTACTGCTGCTCCCACCGCCACTGCTCCCCATACCGCGGGTGTGGTTAGCCTCGGGTCGGCCATTGTGGCCGAGCTCCGGTCCCTGTGCAGCCTGTCCATCTTCGCCAGTCGCCAGGATTCCGGTGCTGCGATTGAAGGGCAGTGTCCGGTTCGCGCGCCGTTTTCCTACATCGCACGGCTGCGGAGGTTCCTCTTCGGCGGTGCGGGCTAGCTGCCTCTTCGTTTGTTGGCCCTTGCATCTGTCTCCAGCCCTCCTGTGGCTCTACTCTTGCTTCCCCTCGCGTCTTTTCTATCTCTGCAGCCAACCCCTCCATTGGCGAATACACACCGACACCCACACACAGTGACTGGCCCTGGGGATAGCAAACCACAGCAGAGCACACATCATCTCTGATCTTCTTGCCCCCCCCCCCTCCCCCCATCCCGACCCTGGTCGGCGGCGGTTTCCAAGAGAAAAATCTATTACAGAGAGGGAGGGTGTGATGGTGTGAAATAGGAGAGATAGAGAGGTACAGGGAGAAAGAGGCAGGCGACGGCCCACGCCCGGGAGAATGTGGCAAGGGCGGCGTGGGGGGATGGTCCACCTGCCGAGATGGAGATGGTGATATAGGAGGAGAGACAGTGCATGTGCATGTGCGTGTCGGGCGGGGAGGACACACGGCCAGGTGTCAGAGGGGCCAGCCTCCGGCCAACGGCGTCTAGTTCTAAAGGCGCGCATAGGAGTCCCAGTGAGGCAAGGCCCAACACCTCGGGACATGTGTGGAGCCCGCGATTGGGCACTCCACTCTGAGCTCAGTCACCTCCCTTAGCTCCGAGAATGGCGAGCCAGGGGGGGGGGCGGGGGGAGGAGAGAAAGAGAGAGAGAGAGAGAGGAAGGGAGAAGGAGGGAGAAGGAGGGAGAAGGAGGGAGGAGGAGGGAGGAGGAGGGAGGAGGAGAACGCAAACCCGAAGGTGCTCCTTTCCAGGGCCCCAGGCACTTGCATACCACACGTACATGCCCCCTCAGCGGTTCATGGAGATGGAGTGCGACAGCTCGTGCACCAGGTGGGAGATCTGCTGGAAGGAATCGATGACGATCTTCTTCTCGTGGTGCTTGAGCGAGGACAGCACATGGACATACTGTTGGATGAGTCGACGCAAGACCACCAGCCGGGCGGCATCCTCGGTGGGCATTTCCACACGAATCCAGTCATTGAACTCCAGGATGGCATGGCGCACGGCCGCCGCCTCGGAGACGACCGCCTTGGCCAGCGGCAGCGAGAAGGAAGCCGCCAGGGAGCGGGCGTACTCCGGATTGTCGATGGTCTGGAACATGTCCGGCGAGAGGGTCTCCCGAATGGGGATCTGCCGCTGGTGCGGGGCATTCCCCGGGGGGCCGATGGCGAAGGCCGTAATGTCGCCGAAGAGGAAAAGGGCAATCGGAGGCACCTGGTTCAGGAAGGTGATCGAAGGGGCGTTGTTCAGCATCTCATGCAGGCGCGGAGTGGCAAGGATCCCAGTGCTGACCGGGTCATTGATGCTGGAGGTGCAGGACGCGAAGGAATACAAGGGCAGACGCTTGCCCGGGGGTGGCGGCTCGCAAGTCACCCGGCCGACCGTGGATTTGTGGATGATGTTCGACGAGTAGGTGACCGAAGTCTTCTTCTTGCTGACCTCCGGCAGCAGGAGGTTCCGTGGCTCGAAGGAGTACAACAGCGACCGCATGAGCGGCAGCCGGTCCAGGTTCTTGGAGGAGCTCAGCTGGGGGAGGTCCGTGTGGAAGGACATCTCCGAGGCCGAGGCACTGAGCAGGTGCTGCTGCTGCTGCAGACGCGCGGCCGCCGAGCCGCCCTTGCCGCGCTTTTTCTTGCCCCCGCCGCCGGCCGCTGCCTGGGCGGCCGTGTGGAGGGCCGTGTCACTCTGCGACACAGGAAGCATGGTCTCCGGCGAGGGGGTGGAATTGGCCAGCAAGGTGTCCAAGTAGCGCATCTTCTGCCCGCCATAGACCGTCAGACGTTGGGTGTTCGGCAGAAGCGGATAAACATCTGGACAGGAGAGGAGGAAGGGGGTGGGGGGAGAAGGGAGAAGAGGGAACGGAGCAAAGGCGCGTGTTATGTCAGTGATGCCGAGGGCGATGCACGGTACAGCGTGTGTGTGTGTGTGTGCGTGTGTGTGTGTGTGTGTGGGAAGGGAGGAGGGGGGAGGGGGAGGAGGGCAGAGGCAGGCAGCCTGGAAAAGAAGAGGGCCAGAAAGAGGAAAACACCAGCTCGGGGGAGGGAAAGAGCACGCACGCTGTCCAATGAAGTGGTTCTTAAGGAGGAAGGCCAGCAGGGTGGTGTGCGTCCGGCGGAAGTCCCGGATATTGCGCTCTTCGATGTTGAAGTCGCGGGCCAGACGGAGCATCTCGTCAACCGAGTCCTCCCGAACACCGAGGGCCACGGCCTCCACCAGCCGGCGGGCCGTTTGCAGGATGTCACTCTGGATGAGCATTTCCTCCGGCGACAGGGGGATGTACTCGACGCGCTGAGCTGGCTCGGTGGCCGTGGCCGGCAGCAGGCGGGTGGACAGGTCTTCCGATTGGTTGGAGTGGGGGCTTTGCACATCCAGCAGGACCGAGGAGATGATCAGCGGCTCGGGGATGTCGAACAGGCTGTGGGCAGGAGGGCACGGGCGCGGCCGCGGGGAGGGTCAGCAAAATGTCCAAATATATGGGCCGGTGTGCAGGCTGTCAAGTGGGGGAAGCATGATGAGGGGGAGACGCACGAGGCGAGGAGCGACACGCGCGAGGCACCCGGCGACACGGGCGATTGGACAATGTAGTTTCCGAAGGCTGTCAACTCAAAGTGAGAGCTAAGTGCTCCCATCACTGGGGGCACCGGGGACACACGCCGTGTTGGTGGCAAATATCCGAAGCAGGGGCCGGGGGCAGGGGGGGGGGGGAAGAGGCAAGGCGCAGGGCATCACGCTGTTAGCGCATACGTGGCACCGATTTCGAAAGAGGGGAAGAGCACAAAAAGAAAGGCATGGAGCCAGAGGCAACGGCGGCGCCCGGCCCAATCACCCATCAGCGCGCACCCTGCAACGACCGAAGGGCCGAGTGGATGTTCTCCAGCGGCGGCGTCGAGGGGAGCGAATCGAAGAACTCATACACCTCGCGCTGGGACTTGGACAGGTGCTGGTTGGCCGGCAGGTCGAGGTACTGGCGGATGGGGGACACCGCGCCATTGGCCCCGGTGCCACTGGCCATCTGGTTGGCCTGCATGCTCTTGGTCTCGGCCAGCAGAGCATCCCGCGAGGGGAGGGTCTTGAAGAAGAGCACCAAGTCGCGCACATCCTTGAACAGGATGTCCGGCAGGGAGTAGTCCGCCAGGAAGCCGGGCTGGTCGTACTCGCTGCCCTTGATGGAGTAGGCATAGTACAGGCCATTGGCCACACGGCCAGCACGGCCGAGGCGCTGCCGGGAGCTGGCCTTGGAAATGCGCTTCGCCACCAGGCCGGAGGAGTTGCCATTCAGCCCGTCGACACCGATCTTCTCGAGGAAGCTATCAACAACATGGACCACAGCGCTATGGGGCAGGGGGCCATCGCACAGGCAAAAGGGGTCAGAGAGGAGGGGCGGATTGGAAGGGCAGGCGTCAGGGTGCGACCAAGTGCGGGTGCGGGCGCGGGTGTGGGCGCGGGCGCGGGCGCGGGCGGGCGTACGGGAAGGTGAGCGATGTCTCGGCGATGTTGGTCGAGAGGAAAATGCGCCGGTAGCCGTTGGGAATCGGCCGGTTGATGCTCTCCTCCATCAGCTTGATCGGGATGGACGAATAGAGGGGGATGATGCTGCATGTGCGCGTGGCATGCGATGTGGGTGTCAGCGGTTGGGGCAAGGGAGAGGGAGGATGAAGGCCGGGCAAGGGGAAGGAGCGGCGGAGGAGAGGCCATTCACAATGTGCGGCTCCCCATTTCCCCATGCAAGGACCACACGTACACAGCCTTGCTCTCGACGCCGACGTTGAAGATGTCCGCTTCCAGGAGGCGCTCCATGGCCAGGATATCCGAGATACCGGGCAAGAAAACCAAGATATCGCCCTTGGAGAAGTGCGGATCGCGGCTACCCAGGAGGAAGGACAGAAGGGCTGTTTTTTTTGCCCGCCCATCCGCCCATCAGAAGGTGAATGTGGTCAATGGACAGCAGCAGCAGCAGCAGCAGCAAAGGGGAGGGGAGGGGCGATAGAGAGGGTTGCAAAGAGAGGAGGCGGGAAAGCCAAAAGGGCGGGTCTCAATCTGTGTGTGTGTGTGTGTGTGAAATGCACGAACGCACCGACACCCCTCCCGCGGGTTTGGTCGGTCAGATCGCGGGCCAGATGGCCAGGGAAATGGACTGCGCGCGAGCAAGGCAGAAGGACGGAAAGGCGACATGAAGATCGACGAGGGAGAGCCAGGAAGAGGGAGGGAGAGAGGGAGAGCGGGCCGGAAAGGCGAGGAGGGGACAGTGCAGGGAGGGGGTGGGGGAGAGAAATGAAGGGAGCGTAAGTAAATAGCAAGGCTCTTGGCGAGCCATGGCGCACAGGAGAAGCTGGCCAGCAAAAGCGCACCGGGATTGGGGTTAAACCCGGCCAGGGCCATCTCATGGTGGATCTCCTCCTCGAACAGGGACTCCACCTCATGGAAGCGGGTGGAGAAGTTGAGCACGGTGGATTTCCTACAAAGCCGAAGGAAAAGGGGGAAGGGGGAGAGGAGAAAAAAAAAGCCAACGACAACGGCGAATGGCCGGCGGGCAAAGAAAGCCAGCGAGTGAGGAAGGTGAGCGGGCGATTTTGCTTGCCTGGTTGCTTGGGCGTGTAGGGGGCGCGGTGCCCGGGCCAGGAGGGCGGACGTCCAACGTACGGATAGTAGCCAGCAAAGTGGTCCGCTTCGACGGTGGCCGACATGAGCACCACACGCAGATTGGGGAAGCGGTTGACCGCCAGCCGAGCCAGGTACAGGATAAAATCAATGTCGGACCGGCGCTCATGCACCTCATCAATGATCAGATGCGTGATGGGGGACTTCTCGCCCGCGCCGCCGGCGCGTGCCGGCGACCCGAGGAAGGACTTGGAGGTGAGGAACTTGATCAGCGAGCCGGTGGTCATCATGATGATGGCTATGCGTGGACAAGCGCGCGCGCGCGCGCGCGTGCGTGACCACACACACACACATTCACAGCGAAGTCGGTAAGGCGAGCACAAGAGAGAGGGCAGAAGGGAATATTAGAAGGGAGCAAACACGCAACGGGGAGGGAAGGGGGGGGGGGGGCGGAAAGAAAAAAAAAAAGGAGAAAAGGGGCGATGGGAGCCAGGATGAAAGAGAGAAGCGGAAAGGCCCAAAAGACAGCAAATGTGCGCGCGAGTGTGCACACGTACAGCCGAAAAGCTTTGGCATGACCGTGTCGCCACGCATGGAATACCCGACGGACATGCCCACCTGAGGATCCTGGCGTTCGTTGGCGATGCGGTTGGCCAGGGCCAGGGTGGCCATGCGCTTCGGCTGCGACACGAGGATGACCGCCTCACTGCCCTCGCCCTGGCGAATCATGTCATCCAGGATGTACTGGGGGACCTGTGTACTCTTGCCGGACCCGGTGTCGGTGGAGATGATGGTCACCGCATTGTTCCGGACCGCGTCGATGATGGCCTGGCGGCGCTCCAGCAGGGGGAGAACCATGGGGGAGATGTTGCGCGTCTTCTGCATCTCCAGCAGGGCGGCCGAGTCCTGGCGCACGCTCTCGGCACTGCGGTTGTTCAACCTCATCAAGTACGTGTGGAAGGAGTGGGTGTCATTGTCGAGGATCTGTGCACACGCGTCAACGGTGGCGCCCACAAATGGTTATGGCCCCGGCAGGGGATGGTCATGTGTAGAGAACAGGCCGGGAGGTGGAGCAAGACACACGGGACAAGTTAGACAAATGGCGGGGACGGTCCGGGCGGAAAAGAAAGGGAGACCCGCCCCCCGGCCCCCCCCCCCCCCCTCCCCTCCCTGACCCAAAGCAGCAAAAGAGGAACACAAAATGCAGGTGCCCCACACACGCACATCATCCGTGGGCTTCTGGTCAGTGTCCAGGAGCGGGACAAACTCCCGCAGCAGCCCGTCAATGTGCGACCGCACTGGCAGATCCAGATGGTAGGACTTCTGCACATAGGGCGAGGCGTTGCTGCTGTCGAAGAGGGTGTTGATGCGGAAGAGGAGCTGCTCGGCGGCACGCAGCACGCAGAAAAGCTCATCCGACGTCTGGAAGGTGGCCTCGATGGTCTCCGACCGGTCCGGCTTGCGGGAGATCAGCGGGAAGGAGTAGTACTCCGGGAAGTCCACCTGCATGTTGCAGATGATCTTTCGATCGGGCGAGTGCTTGAGGGACCATTCGGTGCGCGGGAGAGCCGGGTGCTCGGGCGGCAGGCGCGACGAGAACTTCGACCGTTCGAAGGTGAAGTCCTTGTTGTCGCACCGGCTCAGCAGCGCCTCGATTTGGGTCGACACCTCCATGATGGTGGTCATGAGCCGGGTGTTGGGGAAAAGGGTGACCAGGTCCCCGAAGTAGGGGGCTGGTGCCGAGAAGAGCATGCGGGTCATTGGTGAGTGTGGCGACATACCACGGGGAGGAGGTGGGGCGGGGGCGGGGGCGGGGGCGGGGGCGAGGGCCGGGGGCCGGGGGCGGAGAGGCAGAAAGGAAGACCGGGGCACAGGCGGGCCCACGCACCGGGGATCTGCAAGACGCGCAGGTTGTCCGGCGTGATGAGGGCCGCATTCTCAAGGGCGTGGACATGCTCGGCGGTGGGCTTCTTCTGGGGAAGGACCGAGGAGGGCAACTCCTTCCTGGGGTTGGTCAGGGCCTCCAGCGACAGGTTCATGGAGCGCAGCAGGGCCTCATAGGCGGCCATCGGCACGATGTACGTCGACGAGGAGGGATACAGGCCGATGGCCGAGAAGCGGCCATTCGGCCAGGTCAACTTGACCACCCGGCTGAAGTTGGTCTTCTTGAAGCGCATCTGCTCCGGCGCCAGATCCAGCTGGGCCACATGCACCCGAGAGCCGAAGAGCTTCATGGCCGTCTGGTCCAGCCAGTGGGACAGCGCTGGAAGCCATGGGCCGAGGGGGATCCCAGATCGATCGAATCCCATGGAGTTAGAGTGGGTGGGCTTCTTTTTTTCTCCCCCCCCCCTCCCCGCCCGATGGCGCGGTGGTCGCCTTGCAGGAGCACGGAGGCGGGAACAAAGAAAGAAAAAAAAAAGAGGAGGCCGAGACAAACACGGCGGGCCAAGATGCTCTACGCACTGTACGGCGGGGTAGGCTGCGCCGGGGCCGGGTAAATGGCCGCCGGGAAGGAGGCCGGATCCAGCTCGTACCCCTCGACCACGGGGAGGCCGGCAAAGGAAACGCCGGTCGTGTTCTCCAAGGTCTCCATCATTTGGAAGCAGGCCTGCTGCAGGGCGGCCACATCGGTGGGCCCGGCGGCCGAGGTGGACAGCTGACGCGTCTGCGGCGGAGTGAATGGCCAGCGGATGGTGGCATTGAAGGTGTCCCGAGATCGGGCGACATTCGCACAGGAGGCCAAGTCATGGCCCTGGCGTGCCAGGAAGGTGGCCAGCGCGGCAATCGGGCTTCAGAGGGGAGGCCGCCGGGCGGGGGGGGG